CTTAGGGTTTTCAGTGTTCCACCTTGAGTACGATGTTAGCTATGGCCTTTTAGTATGCAAAAGATCTTCCAAAAGTTCATGGGAAATGTGTATTATGAAAAAACTTTGCACAGATTTAAAATTTGTATTGTACCAAAACAAACTCCTACTTTAATTAGTTTCCACAAATGAACTTTTGACATTCCCTTGCTTTATTTTTATTATGTTAAGGTAGTTATATCTAATTCTAGTTTGTTGAGTGTTTTTTATCTTTATCATGAAAGGGTGTTGAATTTTGCCACATGCCTTTTTTAAATTTTTTGCATCAGTTGAGATGATCATGTGGATCTTGCCCATCGTTCTGTTAACATGGTATATTATGTCGATTGATTCTTGTATGTTAAACCATCCATGCTCTAAGTATCAATCTTACTTGCTCATGGTGTATAATAATTCTCTCAATGTGCTGTTGAGTTGGGTTTGCTAGCATTTCATTGAAGACTTTTTCATCATGTTCTTCAGAGACACTGGGCTGTAGCTTTCTTTTCTTGTTCTATATTTGTCTGGTTTTGGTATCAGAGTAATGCTGGCCCCATACAATGAGTCTGAAACTATTCTTTCCTCTTTAATCCTTTGGAAGAGTTCGAGGGTTGCTGCTAATTCTTCTTTAAATGTTTGGTAGATTTATCCAGGGAAGCCCTCTTATCTTGGGCTTTCTTTGTTGGAAGGCTTTTTTTGTTTGTTAGTTTTGTTTTTAAATTTATTTTCCTTTGTTCATTTGTTTGTTCCTTCTTTCTTGAGTGAGAAAGATACAGAGACAGAGAGAGACAGCACTCCAACAGGGTCTTGATGCCATGATCCACCACCAGCCTCAGTTAGCTCCAGGTCATATGTGCATCTGGTGTTCTCAGGGAGGTCTCTGGGTAGGAACCTGGAACCTCCCCATGGGGGTCAGCCTCACAGAACTTCATGTTTTACCACCATGCCACCATCTGGCCCCAGCTGTGATTTTTAAATCAATGCCTCAATTTCCTTATTAATTATAGGTCTATTCAGATTTTCTATTTCTTCATGAGTCAGTCTTGATAGATTGTGTGTTTGTAGGAATTGATCAGTTTTTTCTAGGTTATTTCGGTTATTAGCATGTAAATAGTAGTCTATCATCCTTTTTATATCTGTGACATCAATCCTAACATGTCCTCTTTCATTTCTTATTTTAGTTATTTGAATCTTTTTTATATCTGTGACATCAATCCTAACATGTCCGCTCTCATTTCTTATTTAGTTATTTGAATCTTCTTTCCCTCTTAATTTCATTTGACTTTGGAGCTGTTTTCCTTTCTGTCTTTCATTTATCTTTAGTTCTTTTTTTTTTTTTTTTGGTATGTGCACTTCCAGAGAGAGACAGAGGGAGACAGAGGGAAAGTAACAGGGGAGATGGCCACACTGCAGTCCCATCTCTTCCATTCTTATCTTGCAATTTTGGGTGCACACACACACACCTGGTGTGATTTTCCGCCATGTCTGGAACTTGAACCACTGATAGCCATGCGGGAGTCCAGCCCCTTAACCACCTTGCTGTCTGCTCACCTCTTTGCTCTAATCTCGATTAGGCCCATTATTTCCACTTTCCTCCTAACTTTTGGTTTTGTGTGTGTGTGTTTAGTTCCTTGAAGTTGTCGGTCATTGGTTTGAGATCTTTTTTGAAACTTTTTAATGTAAGCACACTGCTATAAGCTACCCTCCTAAGACTCTATTCACTGTATCTCCCAAGTTCTGGTATATTGTATTTTTATTTCCACTTGTCTCCAGATATTTTTTCAACTCCCTTATGATTTCTTCTTTGACACAATGGTGAATTAAGGGTAAGTTATTTAATTTTCACATATTTGTGGATTTTTCTGTTTTATTGTGGGGCAGGTCTAATTGTCATCTGTTATCTACTTAATTTCACCTTTATATTTGAAGGACAGTTTTGCTGTATACAGTATTTTTGTTTTGTTTTGTTTTACTTTTAACTCTTAAAATATATTATTCTATTCCTATTCTGGCCTGTAAGCTGTTTTGCTGAGGAATACTTTGATAATTTTATTAAGACTTCCTTGTATATAAAGAGTCACTTTTCTTTGCTACTTCCAATATTGTTTTTTTGTGCCTTCTTTTTTTTGAGAGATTTTTGCTATAGGTCATGTGTGCTTGCCAGCCAGACAGAAAGAGACAGAGAGACAGAAAGCAAGAACCTCCCCCACCCCGTGGAGAGAGGGTCTCACCACAGTCCTTTCTCTTCCATTCTCCTCCTGGGATTTTGGGCACACACGCACACGCACCTGGTGTGAATTTTAAGCTGCCGAGTCCAGGACTTAAACTGCGGAGACTACATGGGAGTTCAGCAACGTAACCATTACGCCATCTGCTGGCCGCTCTTTGTTACTTTGGACAGTTTGGCATTGTGTCTTGGTGTTGGTCTCTTTGTATTTATCTTAGTTGGAGCTGTTGAGCTTCTTGAACTTTTGTGTATTTTTCTCCTCAGATTCTAGAAATTGAATTTCTTCAAATAGTCTCTGTCTTTTCCCTCTTTCTCTCCTTTCCATGGTCTGTAATATGTATGTTATTCCACTTGCTGATGTCCCACAAGTCTCTTAAATTGTTTTAACTTCTTACATTCTTCTTCCTTTTTGCCTCTCTCTGTCAGTAATTTCAGATATCCTGACTTTGACTTGCTGTTTTCCTTCTTCCTAATTAAGTCTGTTTTTAACCCTTTTAATGACTTCTTCAGTTGGCCTTCTTAGTTTTTCTCTTTGTTGGCATTCTGATTTCATCCATCCCTTGTTTTCCTGATTTCTTTTAGTTGTCTAACTGTGCTTTCTTTTCGTTCTAAAGCATTCTTATAGTAGTTATTTTGAATACTTTGTTAATTCATACATCTCTGCTTCTTTAGAGTCGGCTTCTTTTTATTTTATTTTTTCCTTTTTTTGGAGACGTTTTTGCTATAGGGCGCATGCACTCGCCAGAAAGACAGAGAGAGACAGAGAGACAGAAAGCAAAAAATCACCCCCCAGGGGGATGGCCACGCCGCAATCCCTTCTCCTCCATCCTCCTCTCAGGATCTTGGGCACACACGCACACGCACCCGGCGTGAGTTTAAGCCACTGAGTCTGGGACTCAAGCTGCGGTCGACTACGTGGGAGTCCAGCGACATAGCTGTTACGCCAACTGCTGGTCCCTAGAGTCGGTTTCTAGAGATTTATTTTGGTCCTTTGAGTGGGCCCTGTTACCCTATTTCTTTGTATGCATTGTTGTCTTTTGTTATGGCTTAGGCATTTGAAAAAAAAAAAAAAGCCACTTCTGTTAGTCTTTACTTTCTGGCTTTGTGCAAGAGACCTTCACCAGTCAACCTGGCGAGATAGTGTAGAGGACCTGTCAAAGTTTTTCTAGGGATGAGTCGTCTTTGGGTTTGTGCATGCAATCTCCCAGTCGAGGTTTGCCTGTTTCTATTTAGGACCCCCTCGTCCCTCCCCCCAGCCCCTAAGACTGATTGTGGTCGAGTCCTCTCGGTGCTGCAGTAAGCCTTGGTACCAGAGTTCCCCCTAGTGTTTGTGTGTGGAACTGCACACTCTGGTGCTAGAGCCAGAAACAGTGATTTTGCTTTTAGTGGTCCCAACCCAGTGCCTCTTCCCTCAGAGTTTAGATTCAGGGAAAATCGAAACCAGTACCTTAGTAGCTCCCCCACCCCTTACCCCAAATGATAATGTTGAATATATATTCTATTCTCTTTTCGTCCCCAGGGAGAAGTTGAGATTGGAGATGTTTTTTCCCAATGATGCCAGACCATGCTGGGGGAGGGGTTTTGGCAAGTAAATGTCATAAATTTTTCTGCTCACTTCAGTGACATTCTTCTTGGCTCACCTGGGTTGCAGAACCCTCTTAACTGGTTTCTGGATTTCTCACAAAGGCAATTGGTCCGCCTATTGTTAATTCATCTCCACGGGGGAAGGAGGGTCTAGATCTTTCTATTCTGCCATCTTTTTTTTCTTTTTATAGAATTATTTTATTTAATTTCAATTACTATCATCATTATTATTTGTTTAATTCGACCAGAGAGAAAAAGAGAGAAAGGGAAAATAGGAATGCAAGCTTCTAGGTCTGGGACTCAAACTTCCATGGCCGGCCATGTGGGAGTCCAGCACCTTAACCAGTATGCCACCTGCCAGCCCCTCTATTCCACCATCTTATGGACCATAAACTCTCTCTTTTCAGTCAGCTATATCTGGGGGATGATTTAATTCTTTTCAATAGTTTGCAAAAATGTCATAAAGCGTGAACCCTAAGTTTGACAATACAGTTTGGTAAGAAGACATGAACGCCATTTCTCAATTAATGTAAATAGCAATAGTAATGCAAATGTCATTATTGCATGTTTTTGCATGCCAGGAACTGTTCTAAGCACTTAACATACACTCTCTCATGTAGTGTTTGCAGAAACCCCAGAAGCAGGTGCTTTTCCTGTTCTCCTTTCATGGCGAGGTACTTGAGGCACAGAGAGGTGAAGTGACTTGTTCATTTGGCTGCAATTCATGACTTCCAGCAGTTCCCAGGCCCAGGAGTCTCTGCCCTGGACTGCCCAGGAATTCCAGAGGCTCTGTTTCTTATTTGTTTGTTTGCTGTGGGGTGTGTACATTTGCCGGAGAGAGACAGAAGGAAAGTGAGAAATCACCACCCGATGGGATAGCCACATCAGAATTGCTCCTCCTGGGATTTTGAGCATGCACACACATGTGCCCAGTATGACTTTCAAACCGCCAGATCCAGGACTTGAACTGTGGTTAGCCATGTAGGAATCCAGTGCCTTAACCACCATACCACCTGCTGTCCTGATACTTTGTTTAAGGTGCAGTCTGGACCTTCAGTTTGCATTGGATAGCCTCCATTTTTTGTTATCACATTCATTTTTTGTAATCACTTGAACGTACTTGTTGACCTAAATGTAACTCCTCTGGCATTTCCTTTCGCTGAGAATTGAAGCTTCGGGGAGGTTAAGAAGCTGAAAGGAGAGGACACTGTAGGTGTTCAGTCACCACTTCCTTTTGCTCAGCTCCTCCTCAAGGGCAGGGTGACGACGTGCTGTGCTCGTGAGTCAGTGTGTGAGCACTTCCCTGCTGTAGTGACAGTCAGGAGCCGGGGCTTTCACCCCACAGGTGGGCATACGGTGTATGCTCATGTCCGCTGGCCACGGTGAGTGATTTTGATTCTAAGAGAAGAAAGGATGGGAAAGGCAGGTGTGCGGCAGGAGTATGGGAATATATTCAGTGGTTGTTAAGTGGACAGTTCTAAAGTGAACCTTTTGAGGGATGGGGTGCAGAGAACAGTAGCTGGAATTCTGGGGAGCGAGGTTCTTGGCTCGGCTCTGCCATGCCCGGGTGATATGGGTGAGTTACTCTCCCTCTGAGCCTCCATGTTATCAGGTACTTGTGGAAGAGCAGGGCCGAGCTAAAGATGCCGCAGGGCCGGTCCAGGCTGCACTGTGGACCTGGGGCTCTTCCTAACTCGAGTGTGGGCAGATCTAAGTCAGGTGAGGCAGCGAGCAGGTTGATCCCCTTTCCCAGTTGTCTCCACCAGGGTGAGTCGATCCCCATGTAAGCAAACTCCAAACCCTGCTTGTTTCCCGATGTCGGCCTCCGGCCCAGCTTCCGGTGAAGCAGGGCAGAAACACAGTTCCATGGCCTCACGGAAGTATGTGCATGTCCAGTCCCCTTTCTGTTATCAAGTGTAGTTGGAGAAGTGAGGTTTGACTTTGAGGACGTCATTAACCTTGGATCCAGTTTCCCATGGTAAGGTAGTAATCTCTGCGGCCAGCAGGTGGCATGGTGAAGGCACTGGATTTCCACATGGTTGGCTACGGTTAGAGTCCTGGATCTGGTGGCTTGAAAATCACACTGAGCGCATGCGCGTGCATGCCCAAAATCCCAGGAGGAGAATGGAGAAGGGATTGAGGTGTGGCCATCCCTCCTCGGGGGAGATTTCTCACTTTACCTCTCACTGTCTCTCTTTCTCTGGCAAGCACATGGGCCCTATGGCAAAACCCTAAAATAGCAACAACAGAATAATGACCCTGCCTTACCTACTGCGCTTTATGCTTCTCTAGTCAGAGGGGACAGTTTATGAGAAATGCTTGGACTCTTCCGGAAGTTTGTGGAGGGACCAGCAGGTGGTGTAATGGTTACTTCCCTGGACTTCCGCATAGGCGCCCACCATTCAAGTCCCGGACCTAGCTGCTTAATACTCATGCTGGGCACTCGCGTGCCCAAGGTCCCAAGAGGAGAATGAAGGAGAAGAGATTGTGGTGTAGCCATCCCTCCGGGGGGTGCTTTCTCACTTTCTGGCTCTCTGGCTCTCTCTGTGTCTCCGGTAAGGCCATGGGCCATATAGCAAAAATCTCTCAAAAAAGAAAAAGCTGGTGGAAAGTGCAAATATTAAGAAAAAAAAAAACTGTGCATAAGCATTTCAGTTCTTTCCACACCTGAATGAACTTGTACGTTAGTTCCATTTTTCCATGGACTTTTTGAAGAACCCTCTTACTCTCAAAGGACGCTGGAAATGCTGGGTATTATTAAGGCACCACATGGCGGGAGCGTGGGTGGGCTGCTGTGGCAGGGTTTCAGCTGGCCGCACCGCAGGTGCCTAAGTTAACATCTCTTCTTCGGGAAAGAAGCAGGGAGTGCCGTCTTACCGGGGACAGTGACGCTGAAGCCTCGGGCCTGCGCGAGCCGGCAGCGCGTTCTGAGCAGCAGAGCTGAGGGCCGGGCCAGACCAGGGTGCCGTGGGTGGAGACCGGCTCTTTTGGGAAAACTCATGAAGTTCAGTGGTTTTTGACTAGTTAGTAAAAATCAGCACATCTGCTAGATTTCTAAAGGCTGCCTGCACTCACTGGATCCAAGAGGCTATAAAGCAACTGAGCACAACAAAACCAAGTCCACCTGGACAGTCCTCTCGTTGTTAGGGCTCCGTATTCACAAAGCTGTTCCACAGCTACCGCCGCATCCAGGGGTCAGCAGAGGCTCTGATTTCCTAGTGGGGAGCAGGCTCAGAGAGAACTGGTCCAGTGGCTTACACTGTCACTGACAAAGTAGGACCGAAGGGGGACAGAAACTGCTTTTGTTGAACTTTTGCTAGATGTAAATGGCTTTCACATTTGTGATCACATTTAATCCATGTCATAGTGTCATGAATTGATATTACATTTTATATTAGGAAACTGAGGGTCAGAGGGGTTTAAGGTAAACTGTCTGGGCTAGCCTGTGGCCAGTGGTTGAGGCGGCCGGGTTCCACAAGGCCAGCTGTGTGCTCCGAGTCCAGACCCAGCGTCTCGAGAACTGCAGGGCCAGCTGTGTGCTCTGCGTCCAAGCCCAGCGTCTCGAGAACAGCAGGGCCAGCTGTGTGCTCTGCGTCCAGGCCCAGCGTCTCGAGAACTGCAGGGCCAGCTGTGTGCTCCGAGTCCAGACCCAGCGTCTCGAGAACAGCAGGGCCCGCTGTGTTCACCGAGTCCAGACCCAGCAA